TTCGGCTCCAGACAACAAGCTTCCCACACCAAACAGTCCAAACACTCCAAGCAGGGTTTTTGACTTCCCTGTCACCGAGTCAGCTCCTGCCCTTCTTGTTTCCTTTCTTCACGCCTGGCGTCTCATCACCTCGGACGAGTGGGTGTTGTCCATCTTAACCTGAGGCTACAAAATTCAGTTCCACCAGAACCCCAGTACTCCGGTTGTCGTCTCCACGCCCCCTTCCCCACCTCTCCTCAAGGAGGTGTCCATCCTTCTGCAGAAGGGAGCCATCGAACAGGTACCACCACACCTCCAAGGAACGGGATTTTATTCCCGATACTTCACAGTCCCGAAGAGAGACAGAGGCATTCGACCCATATTAGATCTAAGGGAACTGAACCGTTTTGTGACCTACCACCGCTTCCGCATGATATCCCTACAACAGATCATGCCATTGCTTTGGAGACACGTCTGGATAGCCACCCTCGACCTCCAAGACGCATATTTCCACCTTACTATCCACCCCTTCCACCGCGAATACCTACGCTTTGCGATTGGTCAACAGCACTACCAGTATACGGCCCTTCCATTTGGCCTATCCAGCGCCCCAAGGGTCTTCACAAAGACTATGATTGTGGTTACAGCTTTCCTCGATCTCCAGGGAGTTTCCATCTACCCGTATATAGACAATTGGCTTCTGGTACCGCCGTCCAAGAATGCCCTGGTCTCAAACATCATGCAGACCCTGGCTCTACTGGACAACCTGGGCCTATGAGTCAATCAACAAAAGTCTCACTTGTATCTGGTCCAGAGAATACAATACATCGGCGCAATACTGGATTCAACGACATGCATGGCTTACCTGCCACATGACAGGGCAGCAGATATCATTTCCCTAGCCACCGTTGTCCGTACCCTACTCTCCGTCACTGCCTTCCAAATTCAGAGGCTATTAGGCCTCGTGGCGGCAACTACATCAGTTCTCGTCTTCGCCAGACTCAAAATGCGTCCTTGAGAGCCAGTTTGGTGTAGCGGTTAAGTGTGCGGACTCTAATCTGGGAGAACCAGGTTTGATTCCCCACTCCTCCACTTGCACCTGCTGATGTGACCTTGAGTCAGTCACAAGCTCTGGCACAGCTGTCCTTGAAAAAGAGCAGTTTGTGTCAGAGTTCTCTCAGCCCCACCCACCTCACAGGGTGTCTGTTGTGGGGAGGGGAAGGGAAAGGAGTTTGTAAGCCGCTCTGAGACTCCAAGTGAAGGGCAGGGTATAAATCCAATCTCCTCCTCCTCCTCCTCTCGTTCATCCACAACTACGACCAGTCGGA